ACTCCTCGCCTGCCTGCCTGGGCTCCTTAGAGCCCCAACAGGTAGCAGTTGCTGGAGCTAAGCAGCCGCCAAGAGAAAGAGTTGGCAAAACAGCTCAGTTCAAATTGGATCTGGCTGAGAAGGAGGCTCAGCAGAACCACCTGACTGAGGACTACCAGCATAGGCTTTCCAAGCAGACAGAAGACCTGCAGGAGTGCAAGATCACTGGATGCTTACCGGGCTGAGATATTCAGCCAGTTCCAGGCCATGTTGCAGTCCCACTGGAACGAGGCCCTCCGGCTCTTCTCCACCAGCGGCACTTCCCTCCAGCCTTTGCCCAAAGTCCCCCACCAGGAAGCTGAAGCAGACTCTAAGTCAGAATTTCTGCCCCCCTCCAACCCCCACAAAAAGACCCCGAAGGGGGAGAATCTCTGCAGCAACACAAGCGTTCATTGCAAGTATCCGTCCCAGGGGCCGTAGTTTGAGGACCCCTGATTTAGTGCAATATAAAAAATGCAAATAATGTTTCTGTGGACCACCAACATTTTCTTGTGGACCCCCAGTGGTCCATGGACCACCAGTTGGTGACCGCTGCTCTAGAATCCATGCTCGGGGTCCGTATCTCGCTCGGCACACGATTTGGCTTCCCTTGCAGCTGGATCTCACTCCCTGCCCTTGCCATGCATGGACCCTGCTCCTGCTTTCTTTCCACCCTGGCATGCTTGAGAAAAGTGCCTGCCAAAGCGAGCAATCCGCAGCGTCGGAAGGGATTACAATTTTGAACCCAGAGGCACCTTCTAAATCTCTCTTTTTTTCTCTCTCTTTCTTTCTCCTCCATCCTCCTGCCCAGGTTCGCCGAGTCGCCAATGCGGCTTCAGACTATTTCTGGCTATCTTCTTTACAGTGACTTTGGAACTGACGTGAAAAAGGAAGGGGTGCATTTTAGCAAATTGGGGTTCTCCCCGAACCTCACCCCCCAAAAACAGCGCCTCCATGTCTCCGTGGATCGACTTTTTTCTATTCTTTTCCTTTCTACCTTCTTTTCCTTTCCTTTTCTAAATTATTTACAGCCTTGTTATCAGCCTCTTTCTCTCCGTGTCTCCGGCTTTGTCATCCCGTTTAATTAAAAACAAACAATACAGAAAACCCACCGACGGTAACAGTATCTTATGCGCGATGGGAATAATTTTCTTGACGCATTGTAAGGGGTGGAGCGGGGCGGCGGCCTAGAGGTGGTGCTCTCGGCTAGCAATCAGGAGCCAGCTCGATCCTAGGTAGAGGCAGTTGAACCCTAGGTAGAGGCAGATATTTCTCTCTCCGCTCACAATGAGAATATATCTGCTGAACAAAACTCCGCACCGGTGACAAAAAGGGCATCTGGCCAGTAATCACTCTGCTAGCTCCATTTGGTTGCCCAGACTTCGCCTCTCAAGGGATTATGGGGTCGATAAAAGAAGATGATGATTGTATGGGGTGGCATTAAAAAGTCACGACAAACTTTGCTGGCTAGGAATATTTGAGTCCATGGCATAATAGCCGAATCAGTGAAAGCATTTCCCAAGCTTTAAAAGGTACAATGGAAGCTTGTGTCAGGGTTCCAAATAGCATCCAAAAGTAAATCAGAGTCCAAGGCAAAAGTATTGCTCTAAAGTTCCAATTTATTAAGAGAGCCATGTTGGCACATCTGGGAAACCCCGAATCTGAAGGCTTCCAGGTTTCCCCTATTGAATTCTGGAAGGAGGGACGCGACACCAGGGTGAGCAACAACAACTTCTTTATTAACAGGCAACTTATGACAGCGATTCGAATGGCCGCGGTGCGCGCCAAGGTATTTATATTAACTAGACAGCCAATAGGAACCCGGGACTTGGGCAGCAACTGCTGTCAAGTCCCTGGTCCAATTAAAGGTAACTTTCGGCCGGCAACAGCCTCCTNTGTGTGTGTGTGTGTGTGTGTGTGTGTGTGTGTGTTGTCTGAAGGACTGTTTTTATTTTAAGTGTTTGGGAATAATTGGCTGATAGTGTTTTCACTGATGGTATCCCATTTAAGGACCATTTCCCCCAAGATATCAGCTACCCTTGGTGATTTTTTTATTTAAAATATCTTTGGCTTTGTCAATTATATTTTTGAAATTGTAGAACTTTAATTTCTATTCCTATTGTTACTGGAAGCCCTACATTTCTTACTTGAGCAGGATGGGAGTAGCAGGGGTGGGTGGGATCTTCCAAACTATGGGTTCTCTCAAACCCATAGCTTATGTTATGGCTGGTTTGGAGAAAAATAAAGCCACAAAAATAATGTAGCTATTTTGGCATTGCTCTGGACTTTAAAAAAAACATACGTCAGCCCCTTTTATATAGGTAATGGTAACATCATCTTTCTTACTCTCTATAGTTTCATAGCTGAGCTGATGTAATTCTTATTCAGGGGCACTGTTACCCAAAGTGCTGAGAATAAATAGCAGGAAGTCCATAAAGCTTAGCTGTGTGTTTCTATGCCATTTCCCCATTGAAAGGAATTCCTGCCACCTTGACTCTTTGACCTCAACAGACATGTGGCATCATCCTGAATTATTGTAATTTCACCATTTGGCATCCTTCTAAAGTGGAAGCAGAGGAATGCTGTTATAACAGCTTCCCATTCTTTGGATGCTCGTAGTCTTTTTCTCAAAGTACTCAACAAGTGCACTCCACAGTGAGAGGGGAGCTATTTGGTTGTTGGCTTTTGTTTTAAAAAAGGCTGGGGGGATCGTGGGATGACTCACAAAGGATTCTCAACCTTTCCAGGTCGGTTGTGTTGGGGCCATCAAAACTGTTTTGAAAGATGTGGGAGTGGAAATGTGGCAACGTGGAAGGGGCCTAAGAGGGTGGAAAAATCTCAAACCATACGGTTTGTTGTTTGGAATAAGTAACCATGGTAACTGGGCGCAATAAAATTAAGATGCTCCGGCTGTTATCTGCTTCTTCTATCATTTTATCAGTTTTATTGCTCTTTTTTCACCTGGCTTGTTTTTATGTTATTTGAAGAAGAAGAAAACACACTGAATTGTAGCGCTATTAAAAAAAAACAAAAAAAGGAGGAGTAAGAATAATGCACAAATACATGCTCTCTTGAAAGCTGTGATGCAGTTCTTATAGTGTAAACTAATCAAAATGACAAAATATTATTTTGAAAGGTGTTTTGCTTTAAACAGAATACAATTCAATTATAATTAAGCTTGTGACACTAGAATAGAATAGAATAGAATAGAACAGAACAGAACAGAACAGAACAGAACAG